CTCACCAGAGCAGAGTAGAGGGGCAGAATCCCCTCCCTCGACCTGCTGGCCACACTTCTTCTGATGCAGCCCAGAGTATGGTTGGCCTTCTGGACTGCCAGCGCACATTGCCGGCTCATGTCCAGCTTTTCATCCACCAGCACCCCCAAGTCCCTCTCGGCAGAGCTGCTCTCGATCCTTTCTTCCCCCAGCCTGTACTGATACTGGGGGTTACCCCAACCAGGTGCAGGACCTTGCACTTGGCCTTGTTGAACCTCATGAGGTTCACACAGGCCCACCTCTCCAGCCTGTCCAGGTCTCTCTGGATGACATCCCTTCCTTCTGGTGTGTCAACTGCACCACTCAGCTTGGTGTCATCCGTAAACTTGCTGAGGGTGCACTCGATCTCGCTGTCTAAGTCATTGATGAAAACATTAAACAGCACCGGTCCCAGCACGGACCCCTGAGGGACACCACTCATCAATACATGTGTGTTTCTGCGGCCTTCAGTCCCCATTCCATGGGGAAACTCCAGATTTTGCACCATTTTGGTTCATACAAGGGCCAAACTGCTGACATGGTGTACCTCTGTAAATCTCACAAAAGGTGTATGCCAAATTTGGAATAAAAAAGAATCTTAAAAATGTGACCATAGTAAACCTTTGCAGCAGAAATTTTCAAACAAATAGAGCTTTACTATTCAAATGCGTGTATATAAAAAGTTTATTAGAAAGTGCTTTCTACAGAACCTTCCGCAAAGCTTTACAAGCCCCCTTGTATTATTTCTAAGGTTATTTCTACTTTGCGCAGCCACGCTCTCTGGGGACCCAGGCTTCCCAAGTGATCAGGACAGATGGTTGCCAGCATTTTAAGTGCAACCATGTTTCTGAGGGCTGCAGGTGGTTTGTTATCCTGCCGAACAAGGTATTTCTTTGGTAAACTTAACAGTGATAAAATATTTTCCATGATTGGGATGGGTGATGGAAAATACCAAGAGAAAACGGAGATGGAAAACATGTTCATGTTCCACACCAGTGCAGATGCACCCGATGTTTCCTTGCACCACAAGTAGTTCCCCAAGTGCTGCGCAATCATTTTAAAACGGCTCTCTTGCCACACTGCTTCTCTTCCCTCCAAAACAAAGCACGCTCCTTAAACTGTATTGTACACCCCTCACTCTGCATTCACCTCTACACATTCCAGAGCAGCAGGTTTTAGCCTGTAAAAATTCAGAAACAGGCTAACTCCTTTTTAGAACACTGTTTTACTGTAGAAATCAGAAGTTCCTCAACTGCCATCAGTTACTGGGATTGTACAGTCTTCTTGGGGGGAGTGGGGTGAGGCTTGGTTTTAATTGTAAGCGCCGAGTCTCAGTTATTGAACGTAGTTCCCGCTACTAAGGGCAACTGTGTCATTTTCATCCTTTCATTCCCTGCTGAATTTTCACTTTCATCAGTTCTCCTGTGTGCCTCTCCCAGAGTGCTTCCACGGCTGTTCCAAAGCCTTACAGCCTGGCTATTCTGAACCTTCTTCTACTCCCCAGCCACATCAAGTTACAATACAAATAATTTTAATTTATCATACAGGAATTATTAATGTCATTTATTAAACCCTCCCAGGAAGCGATCCAGCACAGTTACTTTTGCACCAAATGTCAATTGTTGTCCTTCATCCATTGCTCAATCCATTGCATAATTTGATCCAAATTTCTCTCTAGGTCTTCTGGAGTGTTGCTGGGTAACTGGTGTACAATTTCCCCTCTATATGACAACATAGCTTCCTCATAAAGTGTCTGAAAAATTTCACACTGAATGTTGTCTTGCAGCTTTTTCCCTTTGTAGCCCCTAGAAAACAAGAACAATACTGAGAGACAGTCATAGATATGCAGAGATCTAGAAAGTACTCTATAGAGAATCAGTGATTGATACGCTAGAAAAATCTCCAGTGAAGTTACATGACAGTACTTCACTCCTCCTTTACTCCACTGACGTACCTGCTTTCAAGTCTGTCATACAGAAATGAGTTTTCTGTACGAAGGACAAATACTATATGAAACCACCGTTCAGGGAAAAAATCACAGCTGTGATAATCGACGATAACTCCACCCTCATTCATTTTATCTTCTAGCTCATCAAGTACCTACAAAAGAAACAAAGACAGGCAAGTTTATCTGGAATTACAGAAGGTCAAAATACAAAAATGCTAGGTTTTGAAGTTGGACTTACCCTGTCTTCATCCAAAATTGGACAATCATATTCCTCATCAAAACCTTCATACAGTTCGCCTGCAGCAAAATAATTTGTACAAGTTTGTGAAGGAACAGCAGTTATTAAAATTATTTATATTGTTAGGTTTATTTCAGGAGGATGCAAACAAAACATAGTGCTCAGAGCAAGGAACGCTTTGTTTACAAATCCACGTGACAATAGGTTAGTAATTTATTACTCAGTACAAAGTATGCTACTGTTCCATAACTGCTTTTTAATTCATACCACCAAAAATATTTCTGTCAAAGCAAATTCACTGCTTTTTCATATAAAGTATAATACATGCACTCCAAGCCCGTGGTTATACAAAGCAAAAATATCTACAGTACTTTGATGGACTACTTTGGTAATATGGCCTTACCTTCCTTTGCCACGTCACCCACATTAATATATGTCATCCCAGCTCTTGATGCAAGTTCTTTTCCCAGAGTGGTTTTCCCAACACCTGGAGTACCTAAAGACAAAAACCCATATAAAGCGGTAAGAGAACAGTACGCAACCCCTCCTCAAATAACCTGCTAAGGAAGTCAAAAAGGAAGTGTTTGTCAGTCAATGTTGGGAAGTTCGTATAAGAAAAAGGGGGCAAAAAGCTGCACAGCAAGGAAAACCAAATGCAAGCAATGCCTAGAGATAAAAAAAAAAAAAAAAAAAAGGCAAAACAACTACGAAGAAAACTCTCAGTTTGCGCAGAAGCGTTATTCTAACCGGGAATTCATTTAAAAGCCCTACCTAAGACAAGAACCCCCCAAGTTTTCAAGCAGAGCAGCCCGGGACCTCACAACCCGAACCGGGAACGGGGCCGGGGCCGGGGCCTCTT